CCCCAACCACATATCACATTGAACGTGACCATCACCCATCAAGCTTTTTCTTGTACTCTGTATTTCGTGAAATAGAATGATTAAATAATAGCAGTTGATAGTTTTAATGGCAATGAAATATTTACCATGATTTTTAAATTTTAAAAAAATATAATATAATATTTATATTATAAATTTATTAGTTAATATAATATTTAAAAAATATTAAATTAAACATTTCACTTAAGAGATATTTATGACATTAACCAAATTTAAAACTCTCAAACTTTTTAGAATATAGGCTAAATATAAGCTCAATTCAAGAAAGACCCTCCTATAAACTCACAAAATAGATGTAAGTTCAGCCAAAAAAAAAAAACCTACAAATCACAGCCCGCAAAACCTAGAAAATGCACGTATACAAAGCGTTACTTCCCTAATCCTTAGAGATCCTTTTAATATAAGAGATATAAATATTTATTAGTTTTTGTTATCACTGATATTACACGTGAATATTTATTTTTAATTGACATTCTTAAATTATAATTATATATTAAATATATAATTACATATATTATGTCCAAATAACTTAAACTTACATATTAACAGAAATTTGCATTAAAATATATGTAAAATTTTATATAGGATTAGAATTTTATTTTATAAATTGGATAAATTCTATTAATTAAATCATTTATTTGATGAAAATGTAAAATACTTTTAAAAATCTTATTAATATTTACAATATAAAATATTTAAAATAATAATAAAAAATATAATGAAAAAAAATATTTCTATCTTTTCAAATGCTTCAATCTTGCTTAATTTAATCTCTACAAACTAATAAAATTGCTTTAATTATAAAATCATAGAAGAAGAGTTATGCTACTTATCCTGCCAATTTTGTTTTAAATATTTGCACCACTTGACATATCATATAATATTACCTCCATAAAAGAATAAGACTACTTGTCTCTTGAAGTTAAAAGACTATTTGTCTCTTGAAGTTAAAAAATTATATTAATAAAAATAGTTGGCATAAAGTCAAGTTCTAAATATCATTGTAGGCACATATTTTGTCCAAATAATAATAATAATAATAATAATAATAACAAAAAGTAAAAAAAAATTTGATTTCAACTCTGGCAACAGAAATCAAGCTACTAGAATAATTTTTTTTCTTTTCTGCCACAGACCTAACTCTACAACACCAAATTTAGCAAGTGTCAACCCCAAAAGTTTTTCATAATCCCTTAAAACATGTGATTTAAAGACTCGAAAGGGCTCTATAAATTAAGCCATAATATTGCAAAAAAAAAAAAGATACAATACACGAAAGGGGAGCAATACAGAGCCTAGGGAGGAACATAGAGAAACAAGGGAAAATATTGCCAAAAAAAAAAACGGAGAGCAATTTTTGGGTAGATATTCAAAAGAGCAACACAGAAGCATAAAAAAAAAAAAAAACTAGTCCTCCAAGAGGAGGAACTAATAGCACAAAAAAGAATTTTTTTTAATCTAGGGGTTTGGGAATTTTTTTGAAGAAACTGGCTTGGGAATAGTGTTTAAGAGGTAAAGGGGGTTAACTTGGGATTTTTTGAAAATTTTTTTGTCATTGGAATTTAGAAAAACTTGAATTTTTTGATGATTGGTTAAATTATTCGACCAACAAAATCTAAAAAATTTTGAGTTTTTCGATGCTAGTTGAATTTTTCAATGGCGATCAATCGAAAACTAAGTAGCTGCGATGGCTAGCAAAGGAAAAAATTTTAGAGAGAGGAGCTCTAGGGGTAGAGAGAGGAGAAAGAAAAAACAAATGATTTTTGCCTATTTATAGGCTAACAAAACAATGTCGTTTTGGTGTTTTGACCCAAGCCTAACCTACGTAGGATCTGCGCGCGGACCGCCTAGAAACCTAACCTGGTGGTGAGTTTTCCTTTTTCTTTTACTTTTCATTTTATTTTATTTTTATCATATTTCATTTTATTATTTAGTTTGTTTTTTATTATATAATAATATTATTTATTTATCCATTTATTTTTTTGAGAAATAAATAAATAATGGTAAAATATAAAATTAAAATAAAGGGTTAGTTTATTAAAATAAAAATGAATAAATCTTAAAAGGTATAATTTTAAAAAAATTTTTAAAAAAATTTGAATTGAGTATTTTACAAGCAAATATTTCTTGAATTTCGCTAAAGTGTTCGGATAATTCAAGAAATTATTTTTGTTTCATATAATAATAATAATAATAATTTATTTGAATAAATATTTTAAAAATATAATTTTTTAAAGAAAATTGAAAGAGTTCAATTTTCTTTAATTAACACAAATAAAAATAAAATTTAAGATTTTACTGGTGAGCCAAGATAATCTAAAAATTATTTTTTACTAAATAAATATTTATTCAAATAATAAAAAAATAAAAATAAAAATAGTTCTTTAAATAAATCTCCTAATTATTATAAAAAAGTATTTTTGGATTTTATTAAAGAGTTTAGATAATTCAAAACAAAAAAAAAGAAAAAATTATTATTTTATAAATAAAGATTTATTTAAATAATAATAAAAATAATAAAAAAACAAGAAAAATAATCACAATAAAAATTAATTAAATATTTAATTAAGTCTCTTAATTATCATCAATAAAAATAGTTTTATTTAGGATCTCGTCAGAAAGTTTGGATAATCTTAAAATTTATTTAAAATTTTTAGAATTTCACCGAAAAGTTGAGATAATTTTAAAATCAGTTTAATAAAATTTTAAAATTTACCAAAGAGTCGGGATAATCCTAAAATTAGTTTTAATAAATAAGCAAATATTCTATGATGAAATTTCGAGAATTTTATAAATGGTTAATTTTCTTGAAATTTTTTCTAAATAAAGATTTTATATAAATTTCACCAAAGTATTGGAGAATTTGTAGAATACAAAATAATAATAATGTTGATCTTATAACAAAAAATGTTTTTCATAAATAAATTTTAAAAAATTAAATTTAAATATAAAAAAATCACATCGTCAAAATTAAAGGATTATACATGTTTAATTGGTACCGTTCTCCAAATGGGTGAAGTGAGGGTACTAATACTTTCTTCATTCTTAATCATACTTTCGAACCCAACCATAATTTCACAGACCTAATTTTTTTTAATAAATCTTAATTAATTTTAAGATTTTTATAAAAAAATGATATTTTTTGGTAACTAATTACACCTTACAAAAAATTTGATGACAACTCTGTAAATTTTTATCAAATTTAGGGATCGAGTCCTCTTTGACAAAAAATCATTATGACAATCATAATATTACTTCAATGATGTCGAACAAGGAGCAAACACACAAGGACAATTTACAAATGGAAATTGATGATCAAAAGATTCAAAGAGTTTAAAGAAAGTTAAAATACAAAAAAATCCTTCCAGTATTCAAAAAGATTTAACTAAATACTTATTCAAATATTCAAAAAGATTTAACTAAATACTTATACTATTATTTAGCATAATAGTATTTGACATGTGTGGATTAGTGGTGAGGAGGTGGCCTTTCTCACTCAAGGAGATCCTTTAAGGGAAGATGTGGTGTTGTATCTGTGGCATCATAATCTCAGGTTGCTTGTTGTCACTAATAAATTGCAAATACTTTATTAATGTATAAAAAATTAATCTCTTTGAGTGTAATTATTAATTATTTTTACTATAAACTCATGACTTTCCTCTTTTCCATCTCTTATTCTAAGAATTAGCAAAAGTTTGCTAATTGTTTATGAAAAAAATTTTAGTAGTTAATGTCATTCCTAACAATATTTGTATATATGGTATCTTTACAATAATATTTAACGGTTCTTCACTCTCTCATATGTGTAAATGCATGGAAACAACATTTCAAAGGATAGGCCAATGGGTTTTCAATTAAAATAGTTGATACAACTGGGGTTGGTGATGCATTTGTTGGAGCAATTCTAGTTTCAATGGCCAAGCAAACAAATATCTTCCATGTACTTTCTTTCCCATTCCACATTATTTTTTTTTTCTGGCTTTGATTTCATTTTTTTTTAGTAGTGATTGCTTGAGTCTATTTCTAAAGAAAATTATCCCATGTATGGGTAATAGAAAGTTTTTAAATTCTGCAAGTGATTTTATAAATTTGTAACTTGTCTAGATAGTTATAAATAAGGAATTAATAAATTAACATAATCACTTAACTTACATATATCAATTAATAAACACGCTTGTAAAATTTTAAAATTTCAATTTACAAAAACATAATCCTTGTTAATAATGTAAAATCGGTTTATTTCCATGCAGGATGAGGAGAAACTGAGGGAAGCTTTGTTGTTTGCAAATGCTTGTGGATTGTGGAGCAATTCCAGCTCTTCCAACTAGTTCAGATGCTCTTGAGCTCATTATGTCCAAGGCCAAAGGAGTGCCCCTTTTCCCATCCACAAGGACTTGCATGCTCTTTTCTTCTGTTTCTGTTTTAGTTTCAATTTTAGTATACATATATTTTTCTCTATAAAGCTAAATAAGTTGTTGGAGATATTTTAATGGGAAATTACACTGCAGTACTATGTTTAAGAAGCTCATATACATGCGAGATTTGTTTACTACGTGTTACGTTAGAACAAAAAATAAAAAAAGATTAATGAAATATGTATTTTAAGGGCAACTATTATATTGTTATGATTAAGATATTCATGTTAAAATTATCATATTAAATCATCTTGCGGGAACATTGTAGCAGATTCTATTAATTTGAGTCTTTTTGTAATACTTGGTGATTAAATTCCTTTATTATATTTGAGCAAGACTAAGTTGTTTTCTTAAGTTGGGTTGTAGAGGATAGTGTGCATGTAGCAGTTTAAATGCTTCTTAGATAAATAAAATCATTTATTTATAAAAAAAAATCGAAATATTTGCAAAAGATTATAAATAAAAAATTTGAAATGTAGTTTTGTTATAAATAAATTTTGTTTTACAAACATTCGTATTTTTATATTTATTTTCATAGTTATAGATTATAAATTATAAATGTCTCTTTAAACAATAGAATTTGAGTGATGTAATGGGCTACTGGAGGTGGGGTTGGGTCGGGTCAAAAAGCCCATGCAAATCAAAACCACGTAGTCCCACAAGCAACGAAAAACATGCTTTTCTTGGGGTTTCTCTTTTTCTCTCTAAAACCCTGAAATCGGTGGCCACTGCTCGAATGGATGGAGATGTATTATCTCTCCAGAAAAATTCTCAATCGCAGGCTCTTCCCCTTTCTTCGTTACGATCTTTCTCCTCTTCTCTTTTCTCTTTCCTCCAAATCACTTCCTTCTCTCTCTTCCATTCCCCAAACCCTCCTCTTACCTAAACCCTGTCCGACCCCAATTCTCAGTTTCCATCAATTTCACACCAATTCGTCTCCAGATTCTTCAATTCCTTTCATTTCCTCAACTGGGTCTTCCTCATTTCCTCTCACGGCATTCCCATCTTCTCAATTTTTTGGTAGATATAATTTTCGCTGGTTTCGAAGTTTCTCAGCTTCATCTTCAGGGCTAAATGCAACTGCAAAGCAAGTTTCGGAGATAATCTATTTGATTAGAAGAGGTGAGAATGATTTGGAATCCAAGTTGGATAATATGAATGTAAGTCTATCTGAGGCATCATTAATTACCATTTTTCGGACTTTAAATTACGAGAAAGTTTCTGCATTGCGTTTCTTCAATTGGATTCGAAGGTCACATCCCGAGTTTTATGATAACTCTGACATTTGCAGTTTGGTTTTTGATAATTGTGGGAGATTAGATGACTTTGACTTAATATATGTTCTTTTGCACGATTTTAGGCTGCACGGAATAGTTCTGAATCAAAAGGCTTTTGGTTATTTACCTATTATTGTTTCCAGTAAAGCTGCAACAAAGAAATCTATAAGCAAAGTGGTTGAGGTGTTAAACGAAATCGGTGGATCATGTGGTCTTTCTGGAATCCATGCTTTGATTGAGATGTTGTGTGTTCTAGGATCCTTTGAAATGGCTGAATATGTGATTGCAAAAACAGAGATGAGGTTGTCAAAATACAATTTGTTGATTAGAGGAAGGTGTCGTAGGGGTCATTTTGAAGAAGCAAGAGAGATACTTGATAGGATGATCAAAGTTGGTTGTAACCCAAATTCCCGGACGTTTAACTATCTACTCAGTTGTTTATGCAAGAATGATAAAGTTGCTGAGGCCTGTCAACTGCTTGAGCAGATGATGGAAAGCGGCTGTGCTCCTGATGCAATAACGTTTGAGGTATTCATATGTTATTTGTGTAGACTTGGTATGTTAGATATGGCATTGGAGTGGCTTGATAAAATGGTGTCAAGGGGTATTGAACCTCGTGCTACCACACATGCTGCCTTTATAAAGGGCTACTTCAAATTGCAGCGGTATCAGGAGGCACACAAGTATGTGGTTGTTTGTAGTGGGAGGTATAAGAAAGTGAGCAATATGGTTTACGGTTTGTTGGCGAGCCTTCATAGCAAAAGGGGAGATCCTGTCATTGCACAAAGTATTCTTTCTGAGATGATAGAAAAGGGTCTCAAACCCAACTTTGCAGTGTATAGTACTGTCAATAAGCAGCTCCATAAATCAGGCAGAGAAGATCTGGCTAGAAATTTGGGGAGCAGCCTTTCCAGCTTGATTTCACAGTCAAGTTCTGATAATGGTTGATATTTGTCTTACATTTCTATAAGCGGAAATTTACTGCTGATCTTCTGGTTCTAGTTTTATAAATGAGTTCACTGCAGGTCCACAAGCTAAAGCAGTGAGTGCTTTTTCCTCTGGTCAATCATGTACAAGTAACCTAGGATCAAAGCTTTTTCTTTGCAAGATATTTTACTATGGTTCCTTAATTTAATAAGTAGATAAGAATCTCAACTATATGATCAACCGATGGCAACAAGAGAAGAAAGTTGACTTGTTTGAGTTGCCTCAACATTTTTCTTGTTGTGAATTATAGTGGCAATTCTTTTAAGCCTTTGTTTTACTTCTTTAAACATGGATTTTTGTTTTTTGTTTGCTCATTGATGTTCTTAACAATAGCACGCCATAGTTTATCCTCTTGATTTGATGTTCTGTTTAGCGTGTCCTGGTCATAGTTAAACTAAAGGTTTATTTGGATTGACAGTGAGATTAGTTCAGATGAGATTGAAAACAATGATAGAGGTGAGATTGGTTACTGTAATGGTGAGATTAAAATCAGTAGTGGAATATGTGTTCGGACGTAAAAACAGTTATAATGGTGAGGTGAATTGTAGTGAAAATAAAAAATAACTATTAAGGACATTAAAATAAAAATTACATGTATTAAAAATTTTATATAATTTAAAATTTATAAAATTAATAAATAATTAAAAAATTAATTTTATGTTTATTGATAAATAATTGAAAATTAAAAGAATAATAATGTATCCAATAATATTTTTATTTTATTACATTAATAAAACTATTTATTATTTCTAAATAAAAAATGAAATTGGAAAAACAATGAAAAAAGAAAAATTATTAAGAAAAGATATTTTAGTAATTATAATATTATGTAAAGGGTAAAAATGAAATAGAAGAAAAAAAAAGTTGGCCACTGAAGGCAACTGGAGGTTTACTTTTCAGTGCCTAAAAACCACAGAAGGCACTGGATGTTTGACATCCAAGTGGGTGCGAGGTTCAGTTGACTGACCTTAAACTGGAGGTCCAGTTGATTTCAAACAAAGCCCAAGTGTCTAACTAGCCTGCCGATTTTGCCTCTTTTCTTGGTTTTGTCAACCAGGATTTTTCCTCTTGTTCTTGAGGTACACATTCTTTAAGCATGGCGGATAGAAGTAAACTAGGATATTTTGCCGTCAGTAAAGAAAATCTAGCATTCTAGTGTTGCATCCTTGGAACTAAAGATAGCTTCCATATATGTTGCGGACTGTGCAATGATGCTTTTGCCGTTTTGAAGGCATTGTATGGAGATTCTCCTCCTGCGATTGTGCTTGTTGGCCATAGCTTGTGTTCTTGTGTTAAGGTCCTTGTATCTTTTATTGCTTTACATAATTCATTTTCAAGAGGAAAAACAATAAATGAGAAAAGTATTCACCCTTTTGAGAACAATAATCAACAGGGAAACGTGCCAATTGCCTAGAAGAAGTAACAGTAGAAAAGTTGCTGTTTTGTTTGTCCTTAGTAGAATCATCTGTTATATTTGTTTTTGATATACATATTTCTTATTAGAAGTTACTATCCAATTGATACGTGCAATAATGTTTGAGAGAAAATTTAAATTAAAACATGAAGAATTAGTTTTACTTATACGAAAATAAATCGCTATTAGTGGAATGAATCGAGATATATTACTGTTTTGGTTAGAGTGGAAGAGAACAGGGGACGCTGGAGTGAGGCAATGGGAGTGGTAGTTACACAACATACCCATTTTAGTAAAATGGGCGTGGAATAAAAATGATATGATAGATACAGTTTTTCAAAGATCTTTGGGCGATGGCCCTCTAGCCCCAACGTGGCTCTGCCACTCCTACTGAGGGAGATCCTAACGCTCTGTTTGGATCGAGGGGAATGGAGAGAAAGGAAGGGTCCGCAGGATAATGGGATATCCTTCTTTTGTTTGAATTGGAATTAAATTTTTAAAAAAGGGAAGGGGTGTTGAGCACCCCCTAGCTTTTTCTTAAAATCTTTCTTTTTTATTCGATTAACAAGAAGGGAAAGGTTAAAATTTCTAAAAGCATAAAATGATTATTATGCCTTTATATTTTTCTTTAATTTTTTTGAAATTGAAATTGAAATATTTTATTGAAATAATCTGATTACAGTCAACTTGTACGAACTTAGCAATTTCACTAGGATAGTCTTCAACTCGATGTTTTGGCTTCAGATATCTGTAGAGCATACTTAGATAAGGGATGTGCAACTTTATTCTTTTTTCTTGTTACATGCATTACATCCACTGCGCAAAAGAGCATCAATTTCGATCTAGCTTCTTCATTTAATGTTCCCACCGGTGAGAGATCAGGTTCTCCTTCCTTTAACTTCTTAATTGTCCCAAGACTGTTTCGCACCATTGTAATACGCGAAAAGCCTATATCCTTTGTAAGCCCCATCGCATGGGCTGCCGCCTCCGCTTCTGTCCATATTTTCTTCCACACCTTCCGCATGCTTACATCCTCCACATTTGTAAGATCTGTTCCAGCTTGATCCTCATTACATAGTAGTTTGTATCCGCTTTTGACCGAATACACACCCTTGTTGTCATAGAGCCAAACAATATCATCCGATGACCCCAGCCTACTTATCGGCAGGGCAGATATAATCTTCGCTTTTGTTGGGGCGAACATAGATTGTACCAGCTCCTTGTTCCAGCACTTCATATAAGGGTCTATAAGTTCGCTCACCCTATTGTTTTCATCTAAAAGGGATTGGGGTGATTGGACCGTGAAAGGCCATGATGAAGGAAGCCATTTATTCTTCCACATTGGGATATCTTGTCTGTTTCCCACCCTCCATCGTACCTCTTTTTCCAGCACCTTTCGAGCTCCCCAAATACTCTGCCAGGTCTGTGATGGATTCTGATCCAAACTTGCCTCCATAAAAGAACAGTGTGGGAAACACTTGGCCTTGAGAACCTAGTAAGCTAATGATGTCGTTCTAGTAAGAAGATGCCAACCTTGCTTACCTAGCATTTCCGTGTTAAACTTTCCGAGTTCTCGAAAATCCATTCCCCCTTTTGATTTTGGCAAAATCATTTTCTTTCAATCCAGCCAGTTTATACCTCTACACCCCGAGCCTTGTATCTACCTATAGCCCCCAATAATGCTATTAATTTCCTTACAAAGGGACTGCAGGAGCATGAAACAATTTATGGCATAGAAAGGAATTGCTTGAAGTACAGCCTTGACAAAGATCTCCTTTCCTCCTTGTAATAAGCATCTGTTACTCCAACCACACATTTTCGATATAATTTTCTCATCTGAAAGTGTTATACCGATCACGGTCCACCATGGAAGGCAAGTTTTTTTTTGGGGCTAGCTGTTGCCTGGACTGCAAACAACCTCTTCAGCTCCTCTATCTGGTCATGATTAGTGTTGCTGCTAAAAAATAGAGTCGATTTATCAAAATTGATTTTCTGTTCTGAGCTTTCCTCGTATTTTTGTAACATGCTCTTTACCTTTTTGCCTTCATTTCTATTTGCGTTCATAAAAAATAAGTTATCATTTGCAAAAAGCAAAAGGGGGTGGCTCGGAAACCATAGCGGCTAGCTCGAACTCCTTTGATAGTACCTTCTTCTTGGCCTTTGGTTAGTAAGGCAGACAATCTTTCACTGCATATAAGAAATAAATAAGGGATAGAGGGTCACCTTGTCTCAGGCCTATACCTGAACGGAATTTGTCATTTAAAATGCCATTAACAACAATTGAATAAGAGATTGAAGCAATGCATCTCATGATTAGGGATACCTATCTCCTCTTGGAGCCTAGTCCTTCCATCATAGATCTCAAGAAAAGTTCACTCCACTCTCTCATAGCCTTTACTCATGTCTAGTTTTAAAGCAAAGAAGCCATTTTTACCACCTCTCCTGTTTTTAAGCGAGTGTAGGAGTTCATAAGCCACTAAGATATTTTCAGTTATAAGTGGATAAAAGCACTTTGGGACTCATTGATGTAGGAAGGTAAAACTAGCTTAAGCCTATTTGCAAGCACTTTAGCTATAACTTTTTAGAGGACAGTACAGAGCCCAATGGATCTAAATTATGTGATTCTCTTTGGTTTTTTCGCATTAGGAATTAAAACAATATTTGCATGGTTCAACCCGCTAAGACTCCTCCCCCCATTAAGAAAAAAAAGACAAAATTCAACAATATCATTTCCCACAATATGCCAAAATTTCTGATAGAATAAAGCATGCATACCATCAAGTTTTGGGGCGACTGTTGGTTGCATTTGTTTGAAAGCAGCCAAAACCTCATCAACTCTAAACTCTGCAAGCATGAGCTTGTTCATGTCGTCTGATACTCTGTTTTCAACCGCCCCAAAACCTCTTCCATGTGATTGCGACCTGAAAGTGAAATAGCTATCTAAAATAATTAGTGGCAATATTTTGGATCACATTTTCCTCTTCGCACCATATGCCATTGCTATCTTCCAGTCCCCTAATGGTATTAATTCTCTTCCTTTGACTGACTTTGGCATGAGAAAAACCTGTATTACGATCATCCTTTCGGAGCCAGTCGATCTAGATCTCTAGGCCCAGAAAATAATTGCATGGTTCAGTTTATCCCGAATCTTCTTGCCCTTCTGCAAATTCTCTTGACTTGGAGTAGAAATTGTAATCTGATCGAGCTCCGTATCAAGATGTTCAATTCTATTGTCCACACTCATGCACTTCTCCTTATGAGACTGTAGCAATCAAGCCCCGCTATATTTTAGCTACTGAAAGAATTCATAATTTTTGTGCTACATTCTTCCTCAACCCACATAACCTCAAAACCCTTATTTTCGCTTTATTTTAAATTCCCTATACTGTCTCCTTAGATTGGGTTATGATCAGAGATTGATAGAGAAAGATGGTTAACAGAGTAGTATGGAAATAAGGTCACCACCCTTGGTTCGCTACACATCTATCCAGTCTTTCTCGAATGTTTTGGACATGTTATTTGCCCGTTCCCAAGTTTACCAAGGACATACAAAGCCCACATCTTCCAGTCCCGCTGCATATAAAGCTTCTTGGACTTTTTCCTAATTGGATCACATTATATATAATATTATATTATAGCATATATAAAAATTTAATAAAATTTGTTTATATAAATATTTAGGTAAATAATCTATATTATTAACAAATAAGATAATTTTAAATAGTTTTATTCAATCAATTATTTAACTTTTAAAAATTTAAAAATTTACATTTATTTAAATCTTTCAAAGTATATAAATTTTATCCTAATTTAAATTTAAAATTAATATAAATTAAATTTAAATTATAAAAAAATATAATAAAAAATTTCATGGCACTGGTAAAAAAAGCTAGTGATCTCATTGAAATCTCCTAAACAAAGCCATGGTCCAGTGGAATGTGATGCCAAATTTCGTCATAGATCCCATGAAATACGTACTTTTTCTATGTACATCAGGCTCCTCATAAAACCCAGTTAACCGCCATAAATTCCCGTTTCCCTCATCAACTTTCGTGTCAATGTCGTTTCTTGAGATACTAAGAATTAAGATTGAAATCATCTTTGCATAGTATCGCTGACCTCCACTGGTTCCATTTGCGTTGACTCC